TAGAAGTGTATGGAAATGTTGGTTTATTTGGACAGTAAAAGGAAATGGCAATTGTAGAAGATGCAGAGAACCCAGACAATGGTGGTGAACCCCTGTGCACATCTGAGGAATGCAGATCAATGAAGGCTATGGTGGGGCTAACATACATGACTAAACGTGCTGGGGTGGAGAGAGAGAACACCTCACCACTGCCTCTGCACCTGGATGAAACCAGGAGCAGAACAACGGGGTTACAGGCGGAGAGGAGTATGCTAGGGACATTCACTTATAAATCTGTGTATAAATGGGAGTGGTGCCCCAACATGGATTTACTGGGGCAGGGTTGACTTTTGTTGAGCCTGGAGTGTGTATGTGGGGGCGCCTATTAATTGGGGCACAGTGTTCAGCCATTGGGAGACTGAGTCTTGGGACCCAAGCAGCTGGGGCACCCAACCAACAGGGTACGCGTACACTGCATCTGTGGGCAAGCCTCCCAGCCTGGCTTGAGCTAGCGCACAAAACGTAACAGTTTAATTGTTACAGCTCCAGCGAGCCACGTGTGCTGAGTGGGCTTGAGAGTCCAAGCTGCAAACGTCTGCACTGTTATTTTTAGTGTGCTGGCTTGAGTCGGTCTACCTTGGCTCCCAGGAAGAGTGTAGATATCCCCCAGGAGACCAGACAGGAAGGTCACAGCTCAGGCACTGGTGTAGGCTTAGTCAGGGAGTGGGTAGGTTTTCTAAACGGTGCTCTCTCTCTCTATGAGCAATATTCCTTTACTGCAATGCAAATAATATGGATTTGTCGTTATTTTCATCCTGTGGTGAATTTTATATTTTTTTTCCATAAAACTGAAGGTTCATTATTTTGTAATTAAGAGTGCTGCATAATTCAGTGCAGCTCTGTTGCAGAATGCCACTCAGTGTAGGCCTAGTATACACAGTACAAGGAGCCTGGGCTATCCCGCACCTCCCAAAATGTGTATGTTGCTATGCATTGAGGCGAGGCTTTCCTTCCTAAGACCCTCTATATAATTAGCCTCTTAGATTGTGTAAGCGCAAATACTATGGGTGATATTATCCCATTTTTAAAATATAATCAGTAGCTAACTGTTGCAACTCCACATGCTGCATAAAGCAGCATTCCCATTTATTGGTGAACTTTTGTTATAACAAGTGCTGCAAAACCAAAAAGATATTTATATAGGTCCTTTATTAAAATTACTTTTAGGGCCTGACAACTGCATCTTTAAAGATATGTCTTTAGAACCTGGAGGACTAACTGCTACTTACTTAAAAACCATTTTAAAAGGTAGTTTGCATTTTAAGCTTCACCATACATGGTCCTGTCACTAAACCATAGGATTAGGATCCAGAAATTGTTTTGATCCTTCCACCAGCTTTTTCTGTGAGCCTGAACAAATCAAACCCTCTATACTTCAGCTTCACCTCTAACATGGAGATAATGTTACCTCACAGGAGTGTTGCAAAGCTTACCTAATTTGTAAAACACTGACATTCACCTAAAACATGCCAGAGGAGTGCCCGAGTGCCCAAAATTTTTCAATCACTCCCCCCACATTTTCCTTATGACACCGTTTACTGTTAAGCAAAACCTTCAGAAAGATGATCTCAATCAAGGCAGAAAGCGCTGTCAATTATATATATTTGCACATTCATTTAATGTAGGACAATGCTGCTGAAAATACCTTTAATATTTTTAAAAAGGATATACTGCAGCTCTCTGAACTCGTCTTCCTGAGATTTCTAAAAGCAGACACGTTAACCAAATATTGATTTTTTTTGTCTGAAAGAAAATAAATTCTTGTTTTACATATGAACAGCATTAGTCAGAAGCAAAAAAACCTAATTCCAGTTGCAAAGTGGTACAGCTCTAAAGTTTTTACAATAAAATAGAAATATGGAGACTAAGAAGAGTAAACAATGTACCCCAACAGGAGAACAAGAGGCAGGACAAAACTAAGTGTACATCATACATTTATTACTGAACAACTCTCTCAACTCCAAAATTGGGCACAGGGATTAAAAATAAAAATTCATTGCACTACTTAGTAAAGCATTACTAGTAACTCTCATAAAAAATGTACAAATTTTGTTAAAAATTTATCAAGCCTTCAAATGATTTGGTTACAGATATTTATAATACATTTAAAACTACATGTTAACTGATACAATAGAGTATGATTTAAAGAAAACACTCAACAAAATATGATTCCAACAAAACCCATAAGCTTTCATAATCATTAGCAAATCTGAAACACAAATAGCAAAATGAGGTAACTGAATGTACCAAAGGGGGGAAAAAACACAGCTCTTTTATTAAGGCCTAAAGATAACTCAGTCAAAAATGCATTTTCAGTAAGTTTAAAAAAACCCAACACATTGGTAGATCCCACCATTCCAAGTATTACAAAAAGTGTAATGTTAGCTGAGAAAATCACATTCAAGAGACTACAAAAACTGTATACAACAAAAAAAATTACTTTGCACAAAAAACTCTGTAAAGAAACCCCACAAAATTAGACCTTGGAGAGATCTGTAGGCCTTGGTATCCATTAAAAACCAGAACAAAGTCAAATTAAGTTGACAATTCATGCAAAAAACACAGCAGTGCCAACATGGTAAAGCCAACAGTTTGTTGTTTTTAGAAGGGAGGTGGGAAATGGGGGGGGGGGGGGGAGAAGAAGGCAACCAACATAAACCTTTTACTGGATTCTGGTGCTGCCTGGCACCACTGCAGGCTGTGGAATTAGACACAAATGTGCATAACACATGGCAGTAAAGGCTGAGCATGAATCCCCTTCCCCTCCTCTTTTGACATGGCAGCCACAACAATGAAGTCTGTTGTCGCCAGTCTGAGCTGGTTCAGAACACATGCATGTGTGCTTTTTATACACACTAACCACAGGAAGCAAGTCTGCACACATCTGCAAGAGTCCCATGCAAACGAAAGAAACATTCCAGAAGAGATCAGCCACAAGAGTGCAACAATGAAATTCAGTATTTTACCAAATGAGACCCTACTGCCTCCTAGATCTCCACCTGCGTCACGGAACTTTACTGGGAAAGAGGGCCATTACATATCAAGATTTCTCCAGTTCAGGAAAGAGGACTACTTCACCTCAATATTAGTAAAATATGCCTTGTTAATTATGCATTTCTATCTAACTTAGAAAAGTGCCTTATTTCCATGCGTCAACGAAGTGAATACTGAGTGTAGTAGTGTTTGTTATGGTTAGATCTGTACAGGTAGAAATTTTTTTGCAGCTATATAAAAGACCCTAAGTATTAGAAGATGTGTGGCATACACTTCTTTTTAAACACATGATTTCATTTGTTAAAAAAATAAAGTTTACTATATGTGATTTAACTTGTTTGGTGACATGTTGTGACAGTTCCATTCCTTAGCACGTCCAGGGGAAAACGAACATTTTAAAGTTGTTGTACACTGTATATTTTGTAATAATTTTGATAGACTTAGTGTTAGGTACTGACATATGGACAGACAAGCAAGTTTTTCGTTCTACTTGTGTAACTAAACAGAGGCAATAGCATCTGAAACATGGGCAAAATTGTGCTTTCATTTTGTTTTACTGAACCACAAGCTGTGATTGGTCTGTAGAGCCTTCAAAGAAGGGCAAGCAGCATGGAGAACATGTAACACTGTCTGGAAAGAGAACTGATACTAAAGCGTAGCAGCACACAAAAGCATCAGAAATGACACAGAAACTTAAAAGCTGAGACTGGCAGCAAGTTCCAGCAATATTGCTAGTTGTGCCACTTGTGCTATTGCAACCAAAGTAATGACACTACATTGAGGAGAAAGCCCAGTGATGCAAAACAGTGCATCTCTTCAATAACTATGGCATACGTAGTAGACCTAAATATTTGACTGAAGAACAAATTTTAAAACCTTTAACAGTCTGAAATGTTAAACAAAGCCAATTTTTCAATCCAGCTCTAACATTCGCAGGGCAGCTGAATGGAGGTTAACTCCTGTTTCACAGCATTCTTTGTTCCTGATTGTGTACTAACACACTCTTCTCTTAATGTGAATATTCTGGCTACTAACCGAAAAACCAAGGGAGTTTTTTATTCATGCAAAAGCTCACTACCTAGTAGGGAAGGGAAGCAGCAGCATCCTATGCCATCTGAACCAGGCAGTGAATGACCACAAAAACTTACTGTGGTACAAGGACAAAGATACAAATTCTTCCACTCTGAGAAAATGCTAAGAATTATATTTTGTTCATAAAGTTGCAGGACTAAAAAGGTAGCCTCTCTTCCACTTACACAAACTCCCTTATACATGAAAAAGAACATAAATGAGTTAAAGCCAAAGTTTATAAGCTAAATGATTATGTACTTAGCAAGTACAATGGCCAACAATGTGAGGAGCTGTTGCACAAGACTCTGAATGTCCTTTCAGCTTCTGTGTATGGGGAGGAATATGTTACTTCAGCTTCTTCAGAACTGACCTCTGTTCTGAAATCAACTGAACATAATTCAAATTGGCTAGAGGAATTAAAAAGGAAAACGGAAAAGCATCAACATTCAAACGCTCAACTGACAATGTTAATATTGCGAACTGATTTTGTGCGATACTGCAACTATTGATAAATTAGCAGTAAATCAGCAAATGTAAAATTTGGATTTTATGACATGAGCTAAAAACAAGATTAATCATGTATTGCGCAATCAATGCACTCTTTAGTGGTACATTTACAACCGCCAGTGAAGGGGAAGCAATAACAGTTGTCTGAATAAAAGTTAAAAGGTCTTTTTATACCATTAAGTACATTGGGGAGGAAATATTAAATGCCTATAATTGCTGCACCCTTAGCATTCAGTGTGCAACTGCAAACACAAGGAAAGAAACCAGTGTACAGTACTAGTACTGTTTAAATAACACACAAGATTATACATTGCAGCATAATTAATACTACTCACATACGTTCTCAGTACATGCTGGTATATAGGTTCTCAGACATAGGCACACACACTCGCTAGCACACCCCACACAAACTCTCGTGTGCGCATACATACTCCCACCCACACCATTCGTTCCCACTCACAGTATCTGAAGGCTCTATATAAGGTAGATTGCTATATTGTTTGGAGCTACCACTTTTTATAAAAGCACATGCTAAAAGATCACGTCCACTGTAATCTCGCAGCAACACTTGGAATGATCACACAAAAACCAGGGAATGTTAGTGCACACACAAAATTAAGCTAAAGAAAATAAAATCTTTGGAGTTCCAATCACACGGTTAGTATAACAATCCCATAATTGTGAAGACTAATTATAAGCTTTATAATTGATTAAATCACACAGTGCAAAAAAAGGTCCATTGACCCTTTTGTGTAAAGGGAAGGCTGGCAGCCACACGGGTAAGTTCAATGGATAGTTCGTCTATACATGTGACTAGGAACACCCAAACTAGAATTGTGCTCTTAGATTGGTCATTCTGAATCACGATGCACTTCTGAAGCATCAGCTCTACAAATTGGGCAGGTACGATTTGCCTATAAAACAAAAGTAAAACAAGGTTTAGTGCATTGACAAGGATGCTTATTTATATAACAACGTATACCACACTATACAACAGGCAGGTACTAACTAATCCAAAATGGAATCACAACAGGAAGATAAATTGGGTCTGTGCCCTTTTGGGCTTCTTTATTGTGCATGAAGGTGGCCCGAGAGGTCTGCCAAATTAAAATTTTTGCCTTTTTTTAAACACCCACAAATTGGGAGAGCTGAGAATTTTCTAAAAGAATTATGGAAAATGACGACATTATGCCATCACAAGACACTGAAAGCTGAGCAGCTGAAGAGAAGGGAGTTTTAGTTAGACTGTTTTTAACAACGCCTGTTGAACACAGTACGGAGAACTACACCGCTACCTCGATATAACGCGACCCGATGTAACACGAATTCAGATAGAACGCGGTAAAGCAGTACTCCGGGGGGGCGGGGCTGCGCACTCCGGTGGATCAAAGCAAGTTCAATATAACATGGTTTCACCCATAACGCGGTAAGATTTTTTGGCTCCCGAGGACAGCGTTATATCGAGGTAGAGGTGTATATGTAAAAAGATATCTGTTCAAGAATGAGTGCTGCCACCCTTCAGTTAAGGGGAGAGTGCTCACAGGGTACATCTACATGGCAAAACCCTGTGGAGCAGTGAGCCTTAGAACCCTGGTCTACAGTGCTAAAAACAGCTGTGTCTACATTTGGGCTCAGGCTGGAGCTTGGACTCTGAAGCTGGGGAGGGGGATGCATTTCAGAGCCCGAAACCCTACACCGCTGTTTTTAGCACTGCAGAGTGTGCCTGAGTCTGTAGACTGGGAGTCTGAAAATCGCTGCCACAGGGTTTTTTTTGTGCTGGGCAGACATACCCTAAGTGCATATTTCCTGCAACACCCACCCCCAGCAAAATCAGGGAAGATGAGACTCGCATTCCTGATACTGCTTAAGAAATTTTAACAATGAAGGGATAAATACTTTCAAGCTCTCTTTACAAAGAGGCAAGCCAATATTGCAAAAATACTCTGCAGATAACATTTACAATTAAAATCTTCCCAAAAAAGGAAATTAGACTCCCAGACTCTCCTCCAATTTGATATTTGCAATTTGAACTATTTAGATAGGTGCACTAAGGTTTAAATCAAAGCAACAGCGCTGATGATTAGTGAACTGTTGGACTTTCAATAATGTCTATAAAGTGGCCAAGTTTTGAGTATTTTCACAATTAGTAGAAAAATGTTCCCATTTCTTAGTGCAACCAAAAATGAACATATATATATTTTTTCTCTCCATCACATTTGTAAGTAACCATTATTGTCCTAGAGCTTCTTGCATCAAAGTGTCATTGACATTTTAGGAGGAAATGAGAAAAACAGTGCTGCAAACTGAAGACACAAAACCCAAGTGCACTTCTTCCTGTATCATTATGGTTTCATAACCATTTGAAGGAATTCAATCACCTTACCTTTGGCTATGTGTACACTGCAGAGCCTATGTCAGCCCAGTACCCTAGTATAGATGCAGCCTATACCAACTGAGGAGTTTTTCCTGTCAGTGTGGGAACACCACCTCCCCTTTTAAGTTTCGTGCTGGCATCTGTCTCTATATTGGGGGCTTTGGCTGGCATCGCTGTCACTAGGGAGGTGTTTTTTTCACAACCTTGACTGACACAGCTATGTCAATATAGGTTTTAAGCGTAGTAGAGCAAGTATCTGTTCTGCACCCTTCTATTCTAGACATAATGCAACTAATCCATATAATTTTTAGAATAAAACTGTCTTTTCCTAGATTATACTGTTCAAGAGCTGAACAACACAGATATACTCCTCAAGATTATATTTCAATGTTTGCTATCTGTAGTATTAAATATGACATCTAGTGGTAGTATCAATACATTGTAGTTTACTGAAAGCAAATTATAGAAAACTAATCCACAAAACCAGACTAAACAAACAATAACTAACATCTTAAGTATCAGGGGGTAGCCGTGTTAGTCTGTATCTAACATCTTAATATCAACATAAATCAAATTATTCATGTTCCTATAATGCTATATTAACAGTTCTACAAATTTTAGCAGTAGAGCATTTTCCCATGTTTTAGGATTCTCTACCACAATGAATCAGTTAAATGCATTGCATTCTACTGTATTTCACGGAATTTGGTCCCCTTCTCCTTATCTGAACATCACTCTCAATGGTTTAAGTAGGAACTGGAGGTGCATACTGAAGTGCAGGTCATGAATGGAAACTACACTTAATGTGCAGTTACTTGAAGCAAATTAAGTTTCTTAAACATAAGCATACACATACCATTAGATGATGTACTGTAACCTTCCTCAAAAGTATTCTAAAGAAACTTTCTAATGAGATCTTCTAAATACCATTTAGTTAAAACTGAGTAGTTCTACCTAGGGGCTTTTTGTGAAAGCCTTATCGCAAAAACGGAGAGGTTTTAATAATGTCACCAGAAACAAGATGGATTACAACTATTTACTTATGGTTTGGGATTTAAAAAAATATAACACACAGTATTGCCAAACCCAAGTGTTCAACAATCAGGAATCAGGCCTAAAAAAAAAACCTATGAGTAGCTTAAAAATCATGGGATTTGGAAAAAATAATTTGGGTTCCTTTTCATTGTCTTCTGATTTCTGAGCCATCCAGGTGCACTCAGGTTGGGCTTTTCAATCCCAAAGACAAACAGCCTCCACGCAAAGCGCAGGCGACCTCGTGCCTTGCTTGGTGATGTAGTAAACTGTGGTGGTGTTGTCCAACATGATGAGAACGTGACTGGAATAGATGGATCAGAGGAATGCTTCGCGAAGTTCCAGGATGTTGATGTGAATCTGACATTCCTGAGCAATCCAGGTCCCCTGAATCAATGCGCTCATCCAGGTGGGCGCCCCATCCGACGAGCAACGCATCCATGATGATCACTGTTCATGGAGAGGGCTGAAAGAACAGCATCCCGGTGTAGACCTGACCTGAGTCCGTCCACCACTGGAGGGAAGAGATATTGTTGGGAACCGATAGCAGAAAGTCCATGGTGTGGCACGTGGAGGAACAGACTCTGAAACCATGGTTGTAGGCAGCCAAAGGAGAGATGGGCCAAGGCAGTCACATATGTGCAAGCCACCATGTGGCCAAGAACAGAAAGGCAAGTCCTGGCCGGAACAGAAAGGCTGGAGAGCACCATGGAAATTAACTCTTGTAGGGTCTGGAACCGGTCCTATGGCAGGGAGGCACGTGCTGAGAACGCGTTGATGTGGGCCCAATGAATTCTAGGAAATGTGTGGAATCCAAAGTTGATTTATTGACATGTACACTCATCCCCAGGGAGGAGAGGAGTGTGAGCAGCATGGAGGTCAAGGCTCAAGCTTCTCTTTTTTAATCTCACTGCCAGCAGCCAATCGTCAAGAAAAGGGAATGTAAGGACCCCTTAGCACCGGGCATGGGCCGCCACTACTGAGAAAACCTTGGTGAAAACCTGTGGAGCAGTGGTGGGTCCAAACAGTAGATGTACTGGAAGTGATGAAGGCTATCTGTGAATCTCAGGAAACAACTGTGGGCAGGATGGATAGTCACATGAAAGCGTTTCGTATATCAAGAGCCATACACCACATGCCTCCTTCTTCGAAAGGCATGCTGGCTGCTAGGGTGACCATACGAAACTTTGGCTTGCATATGAAATGGTTGAGATGGTCGAGGTCTAAGATCAGCCTCCACCCACCCTTCTTCTTAGGGACCATCGCCCTGATACATTGTAGGTTCTATTGCTCCTCTTTGCAGTAGGGAGTCCACTTCCTGGGCAAGGATACTGTGTGAAAATGGTTCCTGAGGCGGGGCTGGGGCAGAGGATGTGGGTGAGGTAGTGTTGTGAACTCAATTGTATAGCCATGTTGAATGACATCCAGGACCCACTTGTCTGTTATCACACTCCAAGCTGGTAAAAAAAAAAAAAAAAAAAAAAAAAAACCGAGTGCTAGATGCCCCCGAAGGGGGTGGGTCGAGGGCACAATGTGAGACAGATTAGTTGATGGCTCTCTGGTTGCACTCTGAAATAATGCTTCTGCAAAGACTGAGTATGAGACGCTGAAGGTTGTGAAGATGAACCAGGACGACAGCTCATTGGGTCTTCTGCCATTTGCAAGGAGACTCATAAGGCTGCTGGTGGAAGAATTGGGAAGCTCTAAATCGCTGCGTCAGAGGTGAGCAGTAAAATTTGCGTTTGGGTGCTGGTGTGTAGATACCCAGCGATCGCAGAGTGGCGCTGGAGTCTTTGAGGGAGTCACTCAGTCTTCTGATTGAAGAGATGAGATTCAATGAAAGGTAGATCCTCTATGGTGGTTTAGACTTCCCTCGGGAACCTGGACAAACGTAGCCACAACTCCCTACGCATGACGATCCCTGTAGCCATTGTGCACGAAGAAGTATCCACCACATCCACTGCAGCCTGGAGTGTTGTTCTCGCAACCAATTTCCCCTCCTGTAGGATAGGCTGGAAGCCAGCTAGATCCTGCAGGGGCAGTTTGTCTGTGAAATCCACCAGCTTGCTGTAGGTAAGGAAGTAGTACTTGGTGAACAGAGCCAAGTAATTGGAAATGCGAAATTGTGTGCTGACAGAGGAGAAGACTTTACAACCCAGAAGGTCCAGTCGCTTGCCCTTCTTGTCTGCCGGGGTGGAGCATGGGTGTTGCTGCTGAGCCTGTTCCATTGCTGCCTGAATAATAAGGGAATTTGACTAAGGGGCGAGAGAAGAAAAACTCAGACCCCTTCAGAGGCACATAGTACCTCTTTTCCGCCCCTTGGGAGTGGGTTTGCAGCTAGCTGGAGTCCGTTCTGGTTGAAAAATGGAATCACTGATCGGTAGAGCCACTCTGGCCAGTACTGAGGTGCGTACGATGTCAAGAAGCTGGTGATGCTGGTCTTGTACTTCCTCCAGTGGGATGTGGAGGGCAATCGCAGCAGTTCTTGAAATTGGCGGAAAAGAGGGA